CCAGATAGCAGAGCTGGAGAGTGGCTCATCCACTAGCTCATCTCAAGCTAAATTAAGAGAGGTAGAGGACCCCCTGTCCCGAGTCTTCTACTTTCTAAGCTTATTGGCCAAGGACCTCGCCACATATGCTCAGGTGTATGGTGAGCTGTTTGTTTCAAAATTAAAAAGAACACCTACAAATAAGAGAGGGAGTAGGTGATGCGCGAAGCTTAATCCTACTCCATCAGTAAACTTAATGTCTAAAGAGCAGCTTTGAGTTTGGAGTTTTCTTTTATTCTTTATTGATGAAGCATCAACACAAGGTATTTTAATTGTATTATTATGATTATTTAAACTCTTCTTGTTTGTTTTAGAACTCAAACACTTTCTGCAATTTGTTACTGGATCCACAACCCCAGTAGGGACTATCAATATCAGATTTACTGATGGCACTGAAGCTGTATCTGCAGCAACATGCGGAAGAAGCCTTGTGCTCTCGACATCTATAACAGATAAAGATCTCTTTGTTTGTGCGATGCATACTATTACTCCAGACAGTTCATTTACTATGCCTTAATAACATTCACTATGTCTTGACCTTAACCTATTGTTTACTCACCATTATTATTATTATTATTACTATTTGAGTTCATTGATAGCAGATTTAGCTCTGCTCTTTATTACTTTCTCATTTACGCTAAGAACCTAAGATTGCACAATCATAATTGTTCATTATTATTATTTCAATTTCATTTAATAAATAAAAAATGGTGCATTGTTAGCTTTAGGGGTGGAGTCATAGGTAATTTCGAATATTCATCAATTAGCCACACCATAGATTTTAGGATTAAGTGAATTAAGTTACTTTATTAAGTTATCATAAAGCTACACCTACGGATTTTAACGATGCGATTTGGCAACAAAAATTGGCTCAATTAGCTCGATAATCAGCTGAAGATCGCGGCTAAAATGAATAGATAATTTGTATTTTAGGCTTAATTTTAGCAGATTTAAATCTATCTCAATCGTTACCCAATCAAATTGATTCGTTAAAAATATTGGCTCGATTAAATTAGTTATTGTTATTGGCTCCATTATCAATTGATCACCATGACAATAATTGACTCAATTCAATATGAAATTGGATAAATATGACTTCAAATCCTTATAGGGAAAGTGACAATCTCTGTGCCCGAATTGGACACAACCCAATCAAAATATCCACAACAGAATACAATAAACAGTCTGCTTCAAGGGTGGAACTCACGAATGATGAAAAGATAACTATACAACTTTCCCAAATCATGGATCACTCAACTGACACCCATCGGGCCAAATACACATTAGTGAACACTGCAAAGGAGGCAATTGGTGCCTACCTATCATTAAAAGATTGGAGGCAGAGCCAGGATACTAAAAAGCATAAATGGGAGATGTGTCTAGAAGGCAGAGCCACTTAACGTTTTATAAAATTATTGATTATCCAGTGTCTGCCAGGTGGAGCATATTAAATAAGATATAATTAAGGCTGTGGATGCCTTATTTTACTAACAAGAGTACTGCATTAACAGCTGGTATGGCAGATAAAATATTTGTTACTAATAATTATTTTACAGAGTATATCAAGTCTTTGTTTACTGTGAACTTCTTAAAAGGGGAAGCAACTTGAGAGCAATGGAGGAACAAGCATTTATGTATTTCTGTGACTTACTAAATCAATATTAATATCATTAATAATAATGAAGCTTGTCTCTCTTTAGGCCTCAAGATTAGACCTGATAAATGCATCTCATTTTGTTACGACAGTGGCAAACCACTTGCCCAAATTACATTCTCTCTTGCTAATGGAAAAACTCGTAATATTGCTTCAGGTCCCAACAAGTTTCTTGGAGAAACTATTGGTCTAACTTCAGAGATCTCTAGAAGAGCAGCAACCAAGAGATTGACTCAAAGCATTTATGAGAGAGAGTCTAGGTGACCAGAGTCATCCAAATGAAGCATAGATAATTTACACCACTCATTTTTTCATCTCTGGAGGTATGGGACACTACCCTTCTCATAAGAGACCGGCTTCATGCCTTGCAGCTAAGAGAGGAACACTTCCTACAACTCTGCTCTGTCATGATTTGATGTGAAATCTCATTTGCTTGCATTCATTCTGCTGTTCTCTGCCTTCAAGGTACTCAGGTTTGCTCCACTCACCTTTCTTTTAACTTCAACTTTGCTCTCCCTGAGGGCAGAATCATCACTTAACTCATTTATTTGTACCTTTATTTATTAAATGAGCAATAAAAAAATTCTATGAAATTAAATAAATAGTCACCTAGTGTCTGTGTGGTGGTGTCTGGCTGGTGTGTCCTCCTCTACTGCTTTCAGCATGTCACTGTCTGCATAATGAATGTCAGAGTGAAGGAATATAACAATCATAAATACATCTCATTAAATCCAGAATCAGTTATACAAAGCATCAAAGTACAGACAGATCCCACAGATTTCAAGATAAATGAGATTTCTCTTAACATTATCAAAAAAGGTGAAATCGTGTCACTGAACTACAATGAACACTACTTGTATCAAATTTGTATCATTCTGAATTCCCGAGTTCTAACAAAATGAGCAACCTTAATGTTTTATAAATGAAATATTAAATGATTGATTGCCCAGTGTCTGTGTGGTGATTGTTCTCCACTGCTTTCAGCATGTCACAGGTATCTCTGGGTCAAGTGAGCTGTCTCGTGGTTTTGATATTAATGCCCTTACTTGGGATTGTATCTCTAGGTTTCTGAGCTCTGAAGCAGTAACTGTAGCAAGTAAGCCTCTCCCATCCACCCATCCAGTTCAGTGTGTCTCTGTTGGTTTATATTTGTACAATACTGTTGCCATAATGCTTTTATGCTCAGCGACATTAATTAAAATGAAATTAAATTGAAATGAACACATTGTATTTATTTGATATTAAGGTGATTCAAGACCGTGATAGTGATAACTGATAACCATCAATACTTTCACCCAGCACTACAGTAGAACCTCTGTATAACGGGACACTTACAAGAAAGTTTAGTACACTTGTAGGTGTCCACTATAGAGAGTGCTCATTAAAAGGAACTCTACTGTAGATCAATAATAAAACACAAACTCTTACCGCTGCTTGCCTCACGTGATTCAGCCCTAAAGTCTGGTTTACACTTGAAACAAAACGCAACACAAGTGATGTTCCATTTTTATAAGATCCAAGTAACCACAAATATTGCTAGCAACATTTGTCTATTGTATATTAAAGGAATTAAAGAAACTCATTCATGGAATTAGATGCACACGTCACTGTAGAGGAAGTAAACATTAAATTGGGGATGCAACAGATTATTAATTAATGGTTATAACATGTGTTTAGATAGGCGTAGAGAGTAGAGACAGAGCTATCAGGAATAGAACAAGGAGTAGACATCTGTAGAACACTTCTCTCAACCAGTATTAGTTCTTTTACCATCCAAAGACACTCTTTTCAGTGAAGAAACACCAATAATATTACAAGTAACCACTAGAGTAGCCATTTTTCCTTAATTTTTAAGGACACGGCCACATGTTACAAATAGCTATCAATACTACATGTACATGTATACACTCTCCCTATAATACAACATAATCTTGTACATTTAATGTACATGTACATGCATGACTTACAGGAGATGCCATGATATTCTGTAGTAGACACGATAATTGGTCTGTTCCCATGGTAACTATGTCTTTATCAAACAAGGTGTGATCAGGTGACGGGTACGATGTAACATGACTTTCACTTGACGACCTACAAAAAATAAAAATAAATGACAAAATGAAGACATGTATACCTCTTTAATGTGTCCAATCGTGAGACGAGACTCTTCTTTAACTGCATAAAGTTAGCACTACAAATAAAAAAATTACAATTCAGTCAATTTAGCATTAGTTTTACTGATGCATACAAAAATGGCTACTAATGTACAGGTACTGTACTACAATATTCACTGTACTCAAATACACTTTGAAGTCTTTATGCTACATGTATGTAGAAACTTTTTGAGTTACAATTATTTTTAATTTCTTTAACGACCCTGTACTAGAGCACTTGCTTTTTTTTCAAATTATGGTTCCGAAGCCATCCCAAATTTTTATTACATTATCTGATACACAGTGATGTCCTTATGCTATGTAGAAAGTTTGAGCTGATTCCAACTTTAATTTTTCAAGTTACAGCCATTTTAATAAAAATTCTGAAAAATACCCAAGGCTATGGCCCATCGTTTTGTCCAAAAAATGGCTCCGAAATTGCCCCAAATTTTTATTACATTTTCTGATACATATTGATGTCCTTAAGCTGTGTAGGAAGTTTGAGCTGATTCCGACTTCAATTTTTCAAGCTACGACCATCTTAAAAGGCCCAAAATTCTGAAAAATACCATGGGCTATAGTTCATGTTTTCTTCCAAAACTGTATAATGTTAATTAATATAGTTCAACTAATAGTGGTTCAAACCACACCTACTTGTAATCTATCGGCCAGTCCAATCTCATTGCAAGGTGTAACGGTATGCAGTGGGCGTGGGTCCGTAACCATGACAACAGGAATATTAACAAGGGGGAGTGGTTTACATATCCATACTGAAGTCTGTAACTCAACATAGTCAACTAAAAAAATTAATAATTCAACTAAATGAAAAAATTAAAATTTATAAGTGTATTTTTGAATCACAAAGTAATATTTTATAACTAAAAAATATTAAAAAAAAATATTTTAAAATAAAGTAATTTACCTCCATTACTATACTGGATATCTCACTGGCCTCACTAGCAACTAGTACAGAGTGTGACATGGTCTGACGAACCTACAGCACAATACATGTACATTGTATCCATAATAAGTATTTATATGTACAGTATTTTACATGTACAAAATAATGTACATGTACATGTATGTACATGTACATGTATGTACATGTCTATACAGAGATAAGAGTAGCATTTACTAATAAACTAACTATTGTGCAATCTAAATGTAATCTACATGTACAACCATTAACCAATAGGGATTAGGTGACAAATTAAGAAGCTTTATCTATGAACTTTACAGGACAATCCCTGCCATGTATGTGCAAGTACAAGTAATAAAAATTGACTCAAAAATTCTACACAGTATATACTGTAAAGCCTTTAATACATGTACATGTAATTACAATTCAGAACCATACACATTGTACAATAATGCAATAACCACACCCATAATCCATCCACTCACTTTATTAAGAAGTAACTGACAGTGTAATAGACGAGCTGAGAACAAGCCACACCCCTTTAATGAGG